GGAGGGCATGGTGGTACATGCCCGTAATCCTAATGCTTGAGGAGCTCAAGTCATCGTCAGCTACATAGTGAGTTCAGAGATAGCCTGGGTTATCTGGGAATCCCATCACAAACAAAAACAAAACCCAAACTTCTAGATAGGGTGGGACATACTATTCATAGGACTCTTATTATTTTATCAGTTATTCATTTAACATGTGTATGTGTGTTTATGTGGGTGCATGTGGGCTTTTTATTACATTTATTTGTTTGTTTGTTTGTTTTTGTATGTTTGTGGGTATGCCTACGTCGAGGCCAGAGGACCACTTGTGGGTCAGTTCTCTCCTTCTACCATGTGGATCCCAGAGATTGAACGAAGGTTATAAAACTTGGTGGCAGATGCCTTTACCCGTTGAGCCATTTCACCAGCCCCCTATTCACAGAATTCTTTAAAAAGCACCTCCCTAGATGTGATGGTGCACACCTTTAATCCAAGCATTTGGGAGGCCAAGGTAGGTGGATCTCTGTGAGGTCAAAACCAGCCTGGTCCACATAGCAAGTTCAAGGCCAACCAGTGCTGCATAGCAAGAACTTGTCTCAAAAAAAAAAAAAAAAAAAAAAAAAAAAAAAAAGAGAGAGAGAAAAAAAGAAAAAGAAAAAAAAAATAGTGCTTCTCTGTGTAATTATAAAGAAAAAAGTATACTCCCTTTTGGAACACCAAATCAACATTTTTCCCCCTACTGTTACGTGCTTGCTTTTCCAAAATCCTGTTAAGAAAACTCGAAGACTTTCAGTGAAGTTCACCTTGATACTGTTTTTATTCTAACCCCATAATTTAAAAATCCTGGCTGCCATCTAGCCTGGTTCCTGAGACACAAGAAATACTTACTGAAGGCCGGGAGTGGTGGTGCACGCCTTTAATCTCAGCACTTGGGAGGCAGAGGCAGGCAAATCTTTGTGGACTACCTAGTGAGTTCCAGGACAGTTGGGGCTACAGGGAGACCCTGTCTCAAAAATACAAAAAAAAAAAAAAAAAAAAAAAAAAAAAACTAAATAAAAAAAAAAATAAAAAATTCATAAGCCATCATAAAAAATTAACTAACCTTCGTAAATACATTGATACCAAAAAGTAAACAAACAAGAAACGGTAGATGGCTTACAGTTCCTTCTTTCCTTTAAGCAGAGTTGAGGTTTGCTAAAAGGCATTCTTATATAAATTTTAATTAAGCAAAAGGATTAAGAGAAAGCTTGGGTGTGGGTGTCTCTGAGGGTCAGCCAGTTACTTTTGACATTCTTTTTCACTCTGTACAGAAGATGGAGCTAGAGACACATTTATGCACGATGAGGCCTCTTTACCACTCAACAAAACAAAGCGAAGCAAAACAAAACAAATTCTCCCTTCCTTTTACAAATACTTTTTGGTGTAGCTCCACCACCGTATCATTCGTTTGGAGATAAATGTGAGCTATAAAAATTTGTTGCAATTTTACTTAGGTGGAGTCAAACTTTGATCTTTACATTGTCTTCAAGGATGACAGATTGCTACTTAAGGAAAAACAAGTTTTCTTAGCTCTCCACAGCTAAGAAACAAATTGTCAGCTTTCAAAAACTTACTGTTGAAAAAGGATTCTAGTTCAGTTTGGCTGGGAAGTCACTATTCTTAAGGAAATGTGGCTGTCCAAAAGTCACACTAAAAAAAGCACCTTTTCTGGCTGGTTGACCGGTGTTAAGTAAAGCACGTCCACATTTGCATACTATTGAGCTCCAAGTTCATGTTCACTCCTTCCTTGCTGACTCATAAATATTAGTTAAAATGGAAATTTGATGTGTATAAAAGATTTTTCTGATGCTGAAGGAAATCTAAACCAGCCAAGCTGCTGCTTACTCCTACATCCCAGGCCTGGAATTGAGGCAGGAGGATCATGAATGGACAACAAAAGCCCTCTAATAATGGTATCTTATCCCAAGGCACAGCCATGCTAGACCCTCCCAGTCTTAGATAGCTCCTTCATTCTATTACAGATCCTTTTTAATTCCTGAAGAGATACTTCACAGTCAGGTGATAATCTCACTCACTATGAGAAACAAGCTTCAAGCTCTCTCTCTCAATCCCAACATTTCATTTTCCTCCGGGTCTGCATTCACTCTCCTTTTTAATGAGTAACTCTCCTTTCAAAGTTAAAGACTTAGAGGGCCCCCTGGCAAGTGATATTTTCTTCTTTCCCAGACTTTACTGTCTTTTGTCATTCATTTTCTTTGTCTGCACTGGAGAAAATCCACTCAAGCTGTGTGCTTTGTCTTGTAGATACACTGCCCGCATTCCATCTTTCAGTAAACATACCTGAACCTGTGGCCTCAAGTATCAGTTCTTCTCAGTTAACCAGAGATCTTACAATTTTAACTGAACACCACAGTTTAAACGCGAGTAGATATTTTTACCTGGGCATTTCTGTCCTTCCTCCTAAGATATTACAAAGTGAAATTATTGTATCTTCAAGAAAATGAGGCTCTTTCTAGCTCCCTTTTAGTAATATTTTCCCAATTAAAACTTCAAAATCAGTCTCCATCTCCTCTCCTTCTTGTTCTCCCACACCTGTATCTACCACCAGGTTCTGATGATTCTACCTTCCTTTCTCTCTGTTAGCACAGTAGTTTACATTTGTAGCTCATTGCTGTTCGATCATAACATTATAATACCCTTCAGATCCTTTAAAAAAAAAAAATTTATAGACCGGTTTCTATTATTCCCTCGGCTTCCTCGAAATTCTTGGTCTCAGCTAATTCTCCTCTCTCACTCCCAAATAACTAGGACTATAGACAGAGACCATAGCATCCCTCTCAACACCAACTGTTTGTTTAGGTTTGTTTGTGAATTTTGTTTGTTAGTGCTGACCTGGAACTCTCTATGTAGACCAGGCTATCCTTGAACTCACAGAGATCCTTCTACCTTTGCCTCCAAAGTGCTGGGATTAGAGGCATTGACCACCATACCTGCCTGTTGTACTTCCTAATAGGGGAAATTACTTCACTTTTTTTTTTAAACCTTTGTTTCCAAATACAAATTTCTGGAATTTTGAGATGAATAGAAAAAATGTAAGGGTGTTAAATGTCTGTCTTAGCAAACTCTTTTAGATGACTCTTATATCAGTGAGTAGCAGAAACATCACGCCTTCAATCCCAGCACTCAGGAGGCAGAGGCAGACAATCTCTGTGACCTCTAGGCCAGCCTGGTCTACGTAGCAAGTTCCAGGTCAGCCAGTGCTACACAATGAGATACTGTCCTTAAAAAATGTTTTAATTATATTTTTAATCAATAATTTTTACTTAAGACAAAACAACAGACTAATTTAAAATGAAAGAACAATATAAATACAAGTTCAAACCTGAAGCCTTGGAAATCAGATTACAATTTCTACTTCTATAACATTATGTTCCCCTTCTTTAACTTAAAGAAAAACATACCCTAAAGAATAGGATAATCAAAAGTAAGAAAGCACAGCTGTGTCTTAACAATGACATTTCATATGATATCTTATTAGTCATTTCAGTGAGAGTGAAGTTAGGGAAAGTCTTTACTAGGAAACTCTTGCCATCCTGCCTGGTTCTAATGTCTGCATTAGTGAGAAAAGTTTAGCAACATCAATGGATGCCTAGGCTTTCTTTGCTGAGTGCAAAGGCCAAGAAGTTTCCCTGCCCAACTCCAGGAGCATCACCGAAGCCTGTTTATGGGAGTTGTCCCACCACAGTCCTCTTTTAGGGCATCTGGGAGTCCTCAAAGGAGCTGCCCACCCTAGGAATGAGGCCTCATGACTCAGGCCTTCATAAACCCTGTCAGATCTGTGGAAAGAACCATGAATCGTGTGGAGAAGCACAAAGTCAGAAAATGCCCATCTGAGGTCACCAGGCAGAAAGCACTCCTCCTGATGGGCTTCGGACGGACATGACTGAGGGAGGGATGAAGTTTTCAGATCTACTTTATGCAACTCTAATGCATTGAGCAACTCGAGTTGCATTTGTTTGGGAAAAATAAATTCTGACATCTCACTGCAGATTTAAATGTTAGGGTGCCGGCATGTACAGGCCTGAAACAGGAATTTTCAGATCCTGGGAGATCTGGTAGAGGGCATATCAAAATTTCAGTCAAAATCATATGTGTGTGTATGTGTATGTGTGTATGTGTGTGTGTATGTGTGTGTATGTGTGTGTGTGTGATCTATGAACTCAGTTATTCATAATATAAAATATTTATCTCCATGCTGCCTCAGGCAGTTCGGAAATTGGAGGCTGGGTAGGGGAGACATATATGTCTGTTGTGAAGCTTCTTCCCATCTCCACCATTTATTTCCTTTGTTAATTGTCAGTGTTTAGGAGGAAGGGAATTAGGTCATAAGATCACTCCCACCCACCTCACACTTCACACCTCAGTTATTCATAATATAAAATATTTATCTCCATGCTGCCTCAGGCAGTTCGGAAATTGGAGGCTGGGTAGGGGAGACATATATGTCTGTTGTGAAGCTTCTTCCCATCTCCACCATTTATTTCCTTTGTTAATTGTCAGTGTTTAGGAGGAAGGGAATTAGGTCATAAGATCACTCCCACCCACCTCACACTTCACACACCTTGGTCAACATAAAACAAGCCTGCACTGGCTACCCTCGTCTTCCCCATTTTGATTTATTGCATTTTTTTCTTTTTTACTTTGGAAAATGTAACCTCAAATATACAACTTCTCATTGTCTCTGGTCTCTTGGTGAAACAAGTACTAAAACCGGGCGTTTTGAATCTGTGAGGACTCACTCCCAGTGGTGGTGTCTATGTATCCCGTGTTTTGTTTTGTTTTTTCTCGTCAGCACTTTTACACAACTTTATCTTGATCTGGCCTCTCCTCGGGCTCTTCTGCCCCACACCAGTCAGCCTCCACTGCACCTCCTCCCCGCCTTTCCTTCTTCCCGCCCCTTTTTCCTAAGCCCCTCCTTCCAGTTGAGTCAGTGGCTTGAAACTTTTAAAAGCTCTGTGCTCCAAGTTAGAAAAACGCTTTTACGAGGTATCAGCACTTTTCTTTCATTAGGGGGAAGGCGTGAGGAAAGTACCAAACAGCAGCAGACTTTTAAACTTTAAATAGACAGGTCTGAGTGCCTGAACTTGCCTTTTCATTTGACTTCATCCTCCAAGGAGTTCCACCACTTTGGCGCGCCTACTTCACTTCCATTAAGCGAGCGAGTAAGTTTTGAAAAAAACTCATTTTACCTATTAGCTTCTTTCCTACAAGTAAAACTTATCTATTGTAGTTTCTAAATGTGTTGTCACTTTGATTTATGATACTGTAAGAAGAATGGTGAACTTAAAAAGTGCTTCTGTAATTTCCATGTTAAAATCTTACAGAATTTCTATTTTGGCTGTTTAAAAAGTTATTGACCATGCAACAGGTAAAAGGTTCAAGCTTTTCCAAAGGGAGTAAAGAGCTAATTTACTGGATGGGGGGGGGGGGGCTTTGTTTTAGAGTCTAATTTTACTTAACATTTTTGTAGTCACCAATGGTATAGGTGTCCTGGGGGGGGTTGTGGGGGGGTTGGGAGCTGAGGTTCGGAGTTTAACTGACGCAACAAAAACAAAAGTGTTAGTATGCTTAACTTGCTGCCTATAGTGTTGCACACAGCATGCTTTTTCATATGGAAATCTGATTGATGTTCTGTAGCCTTGAGAAATAAACTTCTTTTGAAACAAAGTGCTTTGTTAAAACACCGTAGCTATTTGACTTCCACGTGGTTCCTTCTTAGAATTTTCACCATTAAACCAGAAGATAAGTAGATCAGAGAAAGTTTTGAGGCCAACAGTTACTTTGTGCAGTCCGGGCGCTGTGCTAAGCTCTCAGCCCCTCAGCACACACTGCAGCTTTTTACTCGACCACGTTGGCATCTCCGGAGATGAGAAATTTTGAATGGAGGTGGTGGTGACTTACGGGGCATTTTGAGGTAGAGACGTTTAGAAAGAGTGTGTGCCAGGATGCTTTTCTAAAATCAACTGCTAAAACGCGAGCTTCTGGAAAGAAGAGGGAAAAAGGTTTCTTAAGTCCTTCTTTACCGGGAGCTACCCCTCCCCCCGCCTGCGGGGACCTGTAACAGACTTCGGAGCTCTTGGGACAGTTTTTGAGTAGGAGCTACGGGGATGCTAAGCAGTAGAGATGACTTTAATTGATGTGCTGTTTTAAAGGGGTCCATCTTACAAGATGTTTTTATTGGTAACGGGTTTCTGTTGAGAGGAAAAACAGCCATATGTTTTTGGCCCGTGTTCATTCTATTCGTTCCAAATCTAGACCGAAGTAATTACGGTTTTTGGAGCGAGTATCTCCTGAGGTTTTTTCCCCAGATGAGGCTGAAGATCACCTGAAATGGGAGCTTTGCGGAGGCTAGGCGCGAGGCGCCTCCTGCCATCTTAAAGCATCCTGAACTCCCTCGCTCCCGCTGCCCGCAGCCTCCGGGCTTTTCAGATGGATGTTCCCTCCAAGCCTTTCAAGTCCGCCCTCCGCGCCTCCGAGCTCTGCAGCTGCCAGGGGGAGGGGAAGGAAGGGCGGGCTCCCAGCCAAACGGTCAAAGAGCAAGTCATTGACTTAATTAAAGTTGTCAATCTGATTTCTCACCCTTCTTCGCGCAGCCCCTTTTCACTCCCCCGCGCCCCGCCAAACTTGGGAGCACGGTTGTGGGAAGGAAATCTGAATACCTTAGGAGTTCCGGTGCCGGTAAATTGCTCTTGTAACACTTGTGGAAGTTCTTGAAACTCTCCAAGAACGAGGCGGGGCGGAGAAAGGAGGGGCAAGGAAGACCCTTCGAGAAACCCTGCGTGAGCTACTGACGTGAGCTGAAGCCAATCCGTTCAGGATTGGGAAATTCAAACCTGAGTTCCGAGCAGCGGCTCGCCTTCCCGGCCCTCTCTGGTCCACCCAACGGACAGCATCTCGACTACAGCGTCCCACGGGCGCTCCCCGACCCCCGCACATCCTCCTGGCACCCCCAGGGTGTCTTCCTTTCCCTTCCAGGTGCTCCGTGCGGGTGGGATGGACGGCTGCTGAGAGCTAAAAACCTACCGGGCTGGGTTTGAAGGGGGTTTAATTTCCATTGTTCCTGAACCATGGTAGTAAGGACACGAAAGTTGGTTAATCTTACCCCACTCCCAAAAAATAGTACTGGATAACCTTGAACTCAGTCAGTAGTGTCCGATGAGGAACTATGCTTCATACCAAGCTACGCCTCTGCCTATTGTGAAAAAAAGATATTTTTTTAGGAGGACTGCTGAAAATAAAAGGCTATAGAATAAAATATGCCAGTGACGATATAAAATACCCTTGGGGGCAGAGTAATTAATCCTACTGGGTAGGCCAAATTGAGTGAAAATGAGCCCAGTCTGAGAAAGTACATTCTGTCCTGATGAGGTGTTGAAGTCTGAATTGCTGGAATGTGTGTCCCCTGAGTGTGAAATATTTGCACGTCCAGAGTCAGGGTACAGGAGCCACCTGACCCTTGCCTGGAACTCCCAGTAGTTCTGCTTTGCCTTTTCTTCATGGTCTAAACACTTTCCGCGATCTCTAATACCTTTTAAAGTTCTTTGTCATCATGGCTGCACATCCTCTCAGTTCCTTTGCAGTTGTGATTCTTAAATTGCTGATCTTCCATGGGAAGTTTGCTTCTAAAGATAGAGCAGCAAACTTGGAAAGGCTGCGTTTTCAGATATGGGAGATTGCTTTGTTACTTAGATGTTTCCAATTCCTGCATAGAAAAAGACTGAGAGCTGGTGATAGTTGTATCTTAAATTTATGGCAATATGCAGAGGTGTAGCTTGGTGTGAACCATAGAAGCTTTATGTACCCCGAGGGAAGGGATTGATTCGAGAGTCACCCGTGATTAATACTTACTACTCCACCTTTCCTGTTGTTTTGACTTCCCTTCAAGAATCTGTTTTCCTGGATGTGTTCAGGGTTATTCTGCTCAGCTCAGGAGAGAAAAAGTAAAAACTTTGTGTGATCATTAATGTCAACATTCACTGTAGACACAAGTCTAAAAAACTTCAGCCAGGCTTGGTGGTGCAGCCTTTTACAAAGGCAAGCAGATTTCAGAATCTCAGATGGAGGCCAGCCTGGTCTGCAAAGCAAGTTCTAGGACCACTGGGGCAACAAGGAGACCCTTCTGGAAAAAAAAAAAAAAAAAAAAAAATCAGCTCTTTAGGGGTGGGGTAATTTTTTTTTTTTAATTCTTGAGATAACTGGTTAAATTCTCCACTTCAACTGTCTTAATTCTAATGCCACTACCAAGAAGTGTGTGCACAAAATGTCTTTTGTTTGTTTTTGGTTTTTAAATACAGGGTCTCCCTGTAGTCCCAGCTGGCCTGGACTCACTATGTAGACCAGGCTAGCCTTGAACTCAGAGATCCACCTACCTCTGCCTCCCAAGTGCAGCAAAAAGTTTTGCTGAAATTCAAACCACAGTTAGTCCTTTATGAAGTTGCCTAAACTAAATTTCACATCTCAGTTTTCCTAAACTGTCTACGTTTTTAGAAAATACACTGTTTAAATGGTTTTAGTTGGTCTTTGACTAAAGAGAAAGATACTAATATTAGAAGATAAATTAGCGAAATCTACACATCCTTGGGGGGGGCATCTTTTTGAGACAGCTGGCTATAGAGACCAGGCTGGCCTCTCTCATGGAGATCTGCCTCACTCTGCCTCCTGCGTGGTGGGATTAAAAGTGAGCATCAACATGCCTGGCTACATCTACAGATCCTTTAAAGAAACATTGCTAAATATTACCGCAGTCTTACTAAAAGTCTCACACATACACGAGTTATCTCATTCCGTGCTTGTTGAGGCAAATAGACTTCTTAATGTGTATATGACCATCCTAAAGGTGTATTTATATGTTCACAAAATAACAGGATTGTGTAGTAAAAACTATCAATTTGGAGGCTTGTGTGAGGTTGAAAGCATAGGAAACATCCAAAAATGATAGGTGTTTCTGCACGTTTTTCAGATTATAGTTGAATATGGATTTTAATCTGCAGCTTCTGACTGTTTTGTTTTTTTCCTTCTGGCACTCCTAAACTAACTGAGAAACCAGTTTGTAGGGGGAGATTGAATGGCAGGTGGTGTGTGAGGGAAGATAGATGTGTGTCTCTTGGGTCACCATCTTCCTCATTCTCTGGATGCTGGTGTTAGTTGACCTTGTGATGAGAGTGTAAAAGAGCAGAAGAAAGAGCGTTTTCTGTATCTTCTGCCAAAGCCTATGAGAATAGGAATGTTGAGGATTCCTTTACAATGGAATTGGGGATCCTCAACCGGAAACAAGTGTCAGAATGTGAAACGGATATTTACATAGAATACATTTGCTTGACAAGATCTGTCAAGGCTTGCTCTCTTGCTGTATGTTAAGGTTGAGTCTTATCTGATGAACTAGAGGTGTTTTCAGTGGTACTGAATTCAAATCACCTCATGCCTGGAGACTCAAACTTTGTAGTGATATTGTGTTAACTGGAGTTAATATCAGTTCTGTTCTTCCCTTTAGAGTTCTACTTTTCTCCCATCTTCATGATTCTTGACCCTGTCTCAAAAGAAAAAAATTGTTTTTTGAGTCAGAGTCTTGCTTTTGTAAACCGCACTCTGGCCTCAAACTTGTGGCAATCCTCTTGTCTCAGCCCCCCAAGTGCTGAGATTACTGGTGTGAACCATCATGCCTGAAGATAGATAGTACTATTTAGTTAGTACTATTTATTTATATGTTTTTGAAACAGTCTCACTGTGTAGCACAGGCTAGCCTCAAACTCACAGAGATCTCCTACTTCTGCCTTCGAGTGCTAGGATGAAAGATGTAAGCCACCATGCCCTGGCAGATAGTCCTCTGTGATTTATTCCACAGAGATTTCTGTAGCATCTCTCACTCTGAGGTGTAGCAGTGGGCAGGGAGACAAGCAAGCAAATGCTGTGTTGAGCAGAGCTCAAACTGTTTAAAATAATGGGGTGGGGGCAGGAAATGACAGGACCTGGGAAAGGATGCTACTGTTTCACACTTCCTGTTCAGGAAAAGTTGGCTAATGAGGTGAGACCAGAAACTAGAGGAAAAGCCACTAAGTGTGGAGCAACCGGCCCGAGCTGAGGTGACTATGCAGAACAGCAGAGTGACAGGAAAACTGAAAAGAGGTGAAATCAGGCTAATAGCAGGGATGGCAGGAGGAGGATG